AGGAAGACTACAAAAGAGACTGCCAGGGATATAATCCCCGGCAAGAGACATCTAGAATCTTCACACACTATAGCCATCAGGATCCCTAACATGCTTCCCCCATGCAATGTCCAACCCTGGGCGACAGAACAGACTGTTGTCTCTCTTCACAATTCCTCGTCATTTCTAACAGAGTCCAAGACAGTGCAGAAATAGCCCAACACTGTAAACAAAGCCCAAGACAACACAGTCAACAGTACTACTGTATAAGGAAGGCTTCTGCCACTGGCCGGGCCTTCAGTGTAAAGCTCCCGGGAAGTCCCTCCAGATGCTCAGATGTCTATTAAAACTTCATCCATAGAATCTGAGGATATGCAGAAATACAAGACAAGTTCCTGACCATCAAAGAGCTACAGCTCATTGTGTGGGCAGGACAGAAACCAGTTCAGGCTTCAAAAACAGGAACAAGAAAAGGAACTTGACAAACAGCCAAATGGTACAGCATGCCTAGGCCATCTCTGTCTTCAGCTGGCCGGTTCCCTCACCATTAATCTGTCAGCAAAGAGTGGTTAACAGCCACCACCATTAACCCAACACTGGGAACCAGCAGACCCCCTAACACTCACAAACAAACGCACCTGCAGAGTTTCCTTTAGATCCAAAGAAAAGATCCTTCAAACAAAACATTGCTGTCAAGTGCCTGAAGGAACATGGTTCTGGAGAACACTGGCGGGGTCCAGAGTCAGTCCCCAGCATTTCTCTGCCTCAACCAGCCCACTCTCAGCCCAGGCCAGCACTGTCTCCTTTCCATCTCCCTTCACTGCTCTGGTGCCATCTGTAACTACCTTCTGCTGCTGCCCCTCAGTGCCATTTGCATCCCCCTCTGTGTCCTGCATTCCCCGCCACTGCCCTCTCCAGTGTTGGGTTCATCCTCTGAAAGCAGAGTCTCAATAATCCCTGCATTTCTTCATCTCCGCAAGAAGGGATGTCTGGAGATGGCTTTCTGGTGGCCATGCCTCTGTCCAACACTCATGGGACACCCCTTCCCAAGTTTTCAAGACTTTCTAGTTAGTCTGCCCTGGACTGACTTTATTTTATTTCCTGTGAACTCCCAGGATCCCAGCTGCCTCCCTGTTGACCTGTTCCTCTGCTCAAACAATCTAGCTCCTGGAGTGTCTGTCTCCTGACAATTTACTGCATCTACCTATTGCTCATCACACGGACCGAGCTGAGGAGCCAGCGAAATGGGAAAGGCACTTGGGACCTGCCATTTTCCCAGTCCTTTTTTCTCTAGAAGCAACCATCCCCCACACAGACTCCATCACATGGAAGTGCTTTTCTGCAGCACCTCCTCAGGTACAATCAGCCTGACTCTCCTGGACCAGGGAGTCGGGGGTTCAAGAAGCCCTTTGCCTTTGGCTGAGTAGACAGACTCTCTGGGTTTTCCAAGCCAGAAAGGAAAAGACTGATATCGCTAATGCTACTCCCCTGTCACTTCTTAGGGACGATTCTCATTCCCTTTAGAATTAATACATCAAGCCTAGGATTTCTGAGCGATGGATGATAGATTTGCCCACCGGAAGACTGCCAAGTTGAGTCTCGGGAGCAAATCCAGTGTTCCATAATCTCTGCTGCTTTCCTAATCACAGACGGAGCCACAAAATGACAGAAAAGCAGGAGGGATGCAGGCAGCTGGCTGACATACAAACATCACCCTGTGCCTCCTGGAGGGGGGATTTCTACAAATATCACCCTCAAACATCTTCTCCCCAACCCCCCCCCCCCCCCCGAGCCAGGGTGTCTGTTACTCAATGAGTCTATGCCGAATAAAATGGGAGGAGCTTTCAAAGTGTCTCTCTTAAAGCTGTAAAAGGCAAGAAGTCTACAGAAACTGCCTCGCTCCTTGCCGAGAGGTGACCACCATGGGCAAGTTCAAGAGGGACATGAATACCTCCTGTATCTCCTGCCGCCTGGGCAGTGGTAAGAGGTTTATGGGGTGAGACCAGCGCTGGGGGGAGACTGCCACCCCTTTTCCATCTGGAGTAGCACAACACATGGGAGCTCCCATCTCTCCATCCGCAGGTGGACTGGCTGAGGTGGCCTCTGCCTTTTACAATGACCCCTAGAGCCAAAGAGAGGACGGTGAAAGCAGGGGGTCACCATGTCCCCATCTTGATGAGCTTGAAGGGGAGTGGAGGTGAGGAGTAAACTAAAAATCCCCCCTGCACTCACGTGTAAGCTGAGAAGACAATTCAAAATCCCATCAGCTAATGAGTGGAATCATGACAATTATATTGAATATATATATATTGAATACACACACAGACATATATATATTATATATATATAATATATATATAATATATATATATGCCTTGCAATTTTTACTCTACAAGGCACTAGGATCAATTATTTAATGGGGTTCTTAGAGATAACCCAGTTGGGTAAAGTGACAGCTGCCATTTACTGAAATGGCCAAGAACACTTTCCAGGTGTTATTTGCTAAGGTGGGAAGAGAAGTAACTCGCCCCGAGGGTGACACGAAGGCCTTTCTCATTCTGGAGTTTATTTTCTTGACCTTATCAAGGACATCTTACGTGCAGAGGAGGTGGCAGTCCTTACAGCTCAACTCCCTACAAAGCAGGCATGTGTGCGTGCACAGGAGCTCACTCTGCCGTCTTCCCCAGTTACAGGCTCCCACCTGGAGGAGATCCACTTTCTCCTTAGGACGAAGGTCAGCCTCCATGGGTGAGTGTCTGCCACTGAAGTTGCCCCTGACTCCGCAAAAGCACTGTCCGTTTGTCAGGATGCAAGCAAAGCGAGCTGGAGAAACAACACTAATTCTGGAGCTCTGTCACAAAGGGGAACACTTTCAGACTGAAAATAATGAGTGAGACTAAATGCCATTTGGCATAATGGCTCATGACATTAAAATAAATGTTCAAGTCGTGAGATTCGAGCACACAAGGAAAGAAGAAGTGACTGCAGGAAACAGTAAGATGCCAACAAATGGCGACAGCTTGTGGAAGCTGGCTGCCCTACTGTTGAAGGCGCATCTGACCGGAGTGATGATGCGCGCTGCTACCGTGCATTGCAGCAACCTTCTCACACAAACTGTCAGTCACCTGGACAGAGCTCAGAACTGCAGCAGGTCGGGGTGGTGGGGCATACCAGCATGTGCATGTACCCTTTCTCTCCCTTTTCCCTTGACTACCTGGAGTCTCCCCTGCCCCCTCCTCCTTTTTAAGGAATTTCCCTGCCCTCCCCCCCCCCCGCGCCGCCCCCCCCCACCCCCATCTCCTATCTTCCACCCATAGAATAAGTTGGTGGACGGTGGCAAAGTTACCGAGATTGCTGAAGTGCCCGTGACAACATGTCTGGCGTCCGTCTACTCCAAGCTCTGGAAATATACTTAGATACTCACAGATACCTATTAAATACTCCTATTGGATTACATGATTAGAGGAGATCCAAAAGCCACCTGAGAAGCAAAATCTTGGAGCCTTAAAGTCACAGAAAAACACATGCGTGCAAAAGGTTGGCGTGTAGGAACGACATCCACACATACTACACCGACAGGAGCCCTCGCACAGCCATTGGAATCCTCACGCACCTCCCTTTCTGCTTACCCTGCCCCATGAAACCTCCGCACTCTAAGTTGTGGACCATAGCCACCCTCTTAGGAGTAAGCACCAGCTCAGAAAGGTAAGTTCCAGGGCCCATGGCGAGGACTCTGAACAAGCCCTTTAATGAACCTCGACCTCTGCAAAATGGAGATTAAAAAATTAAAAACAGTGGTGGCGCACGCCTTTAATCCCAGCACTCGGGAGGCAGAGCCAGGCGGATCTCTGTGAGTTCGAGGCCAGCCTGGGCTACCAAGTGAGTTCCAGGAAAGGCGCAAAGCTACACAGAGAAACCCTGTCTCGAAAAACCAAAAAAAAAAAAAAAAAAATTAAAAACAAACGAGAATAACCCCCCCAGCCCCCAGCTAGAGGTCATCCTACCCTGATTCCTAAACATGTGTTTCCTACACCCACGCCTGATCTAACAGGCCTTCCACCAATAGGTCCTCACTCTTGGCACTCCAACATGCCTTGGAAAGTGTGAAGATTGTGTATAGGTTTGTGTGAGGAGGCTCCCAGCAGGCAGTCACAGTCTGTGGGGCAAGCAAACTTTCAGGGCTGTGCTAGGTGCACAGAACTATGCTTGCAGATAGAAAGTGAGAGATCCCGAGCCTGGACCCCGGGTGAGGGCCGGGAGGGGCGGAGCTGGCTGGTGGAGGTAGGCTAAGCCTGGTGGAAAATAGACCCACGGTCGTGGGCAGCTTCCTCCTGTTGCTCAGTACTGGGAAAAGGCGGAGGAGGACATTCATTTCTCTCCTAATAAGCAGCCACCTATCCTATCGCTTCCATAACTATTGATTATTAATAGCCCGTGGCGCCTCTTAAAGGGGAAGGCCAGCTCTGCGTGCTACGGAGGTCCAGGGCCCTCCACCGCTAGCCACGCCGCCACAGGGATGGGCTAACACTTCTGCACCGACTTGCCCAGCAGTCTCAAGAACCGCAGACACAAGCCGAGCCAAGAGTCCTGAGTTCTACCCACGGGTCTTTTCTTCCCACCGACTCTGAAGCATGCACGACCTCACAGCCCCCAGGATGGAGGACCCGGCAACACACGGAAAGTTACTTCAAAAGGGTTGCGCCGGTTTCCGCAGAAAACTACGAGACTCAGATTTCTCGAGCCCTCCCCCACCCCACCCGGCAGTGCGCCTCAAGGCCGCCCCTGAAGACCCCGCCACAGTGCGATCCATGGGCAAATGTCCCTCCCGTCCCTCCGACGCACCTAAGTGCAGTGGGGTAGGAGGATGCCCCAAAGCCAGATCCCAGTCTCGGTCTGCAAGAGCTCAGGCTGCTAGGGGACCGGCCTCCTGCCCCGCAGTTCCGAGAAATACTCTCTATTTCCTACGCTGGCCTCCCCTCCTCTCCAACCCCAGTCCTCCCGGCAGGGTTGCCCCTCGCTACCTGCAGCAGTCACAGGCTCGCCCTCGCTCTGCTCTCCAGAATCTGAATCCATACTGTGGGCTTCCGCCCGCCCGCGCATCCACCACCGCCCGCCTGCGGGGCGCTGGGGCCGGCGTCCCAGCTCGGATGGCCGCGCGGCACACTCGGTATGGGCTGCAAAGAGTCTGGAGCCGGGACGGTGCAGAGTGGGCAGTGTGTGGCCAGACACTAGGGCCAGGGGGCGGCTCCGCAGAGGCCAAGCCTGCTCCTGTGGCCCGCCCGCCGCCCGCCCGTGCTTGCACGCGAGGGTAGTGGGGCGGGGGGGGGGGGGGGGAGCAGGAGGGGGACGGGAATGGTAGGACGCGAGGGAGGGGGAGGAGGAGTGTCCAGTGCCCCACGGCTCCTGGCTGGGATTAAGTAGCCTGGGTTCTTCTACGCCCAGAGCCCTGGAATGGGAGCTTGGCGAGGTGGTGCGGGTCCTGGAAGTCAGAAGTCCTCTCTTTGGGTGTGGCAAAGTTTGCAAGATTCTTCAGTGAAAAATCACTTCTGATCATTAAAAAAGGAGTTGTTATTGTTAGGGTTTAGGGTTGTGAGGCTGCACGCGTTTCAGTACAACTTCCCCCCTTAGACACTGGAGTGAAATCTCCGTGTGTCTGTTTCCGTGGAAAGGTGGATGAATGGTCTTGCAGGAGTATTTTGGGATGTATAATGCCGGTTCACTGGTAAGGAAGCAAGCAGCGGGCCTTACGCCTAGTGAGGGAGTAAACAACTAGTCAGGTAGAGATAACTCCTGCAGTTCCCAGTTCTTACTCTTCTAGGCGTGGGCGTGGCCTGTCGAGCTGGTTCTGAGAGCTGGGTGAGGGCCCAGCCTGAGTTGGCCTGGAAGGCTGGACCCACCCTGCCAATCATGCTCCAGTGCCAATTTTTGCCTCCAGCTCAAGAGGCATGAATTGATTTTTAAAACGTTTTTTCTGGGGAGGCGGCTGGGGGTAAGAACGCTTGGTGTTCAAGCATGGGGAACTGAATTAAAACGCCCTGCATGGCCCCCACAGGTGCCTGTAACCCCATGAAGAGCAGCCACAGGAGGATGGGACTCGCTGGCTGTCAGCCTAGCTCTAGGTTCAATTAGAGATCCTATCTGAAGGGAGTGAGGTGAAAGAGAATGATGGACACCTGGTGTCCTCCTCTGGCCTGGGAGCTGAGGAGGAACCTTTTCTTGCTGATGGGATTAAATGCAAAGTACTAAACTTTTTCAACATCCCCTTTCATTTTCTTTTTTTAAAAAGTTAACTTATTATCTAATCAAGAGACCAAGCCATGGAGGAGAAGCACTGAGCAGGAAAGCCGTTGTTAATTTCTGAACACGCGGGGGCTTTCATTGTATTCCTCTATTACAGGCTTGAAAATTCACATAACCTCAAGCCTGCTTTTCTTGAGTCTAAACTGCCTACAGCGATCGCCAACTATTGACCCAAGAGAAAAGAAATCAGGAAGAAAACGCCCACTTAGAGGTGCCAGGTTCCCAGTGTGTCCTCCGAGCACTCATTTCTTCTGAACTAAGACCCAGGGATGAATTTAGGTCGAACCATTTGAAATTGCATTTTGGCGATGGGAAACACAGTTGAAATTTGGCTCTTGTATCGATTCAACCTATAGTCAAGCCCATTTTACAAATGCAGAATCTGGGTCTCAGCTCCAGTAAGCACACGAGAGAGGAATCTAATCAAGGCTGTGTGGAGTGGACAGCTGCTTCTTTCTGTTGTGGTCCAGCGGTACAGGCAAGCTTTGGCTTCTCATCTGGCTGCTAACTAGCTCATTTAGGGAGAGGTAGACCTCACAGAACATCATTACAGCTCTACTTTATGTTCTAGGGGCAAGTTTTCTGTAAGACTAGACTCACTAGCCTCAGTGATGAGAGTTGGATTTGATGAAATGCTGGGGGGGCGGGAAGCCCCTATATAAGAAGTGTACTCTTGGGCAAATGGCCCAGCCTCCCTCAGTCTCCTCTTGTATCGGCATCTCCTTCACAGTCCCCTTGTGAAGGAGTAAAAGTGGTGGGTGTGGAAGCAACTGCCCAGTGCTGGTACGGGGTTAATGCTTGATAAGGGGAAGAACATAAATTCTTTGGTCTAATGGGTCTCATGTAGAAAAAGGTAAAAACAAAAGCCTATTTTAAAATAAAAATCAAAAGGGAATGGAAGATTGGGTCCAAGTGAATGCTCAGAAAAGAAATGACTGCGTCATTTTTCAAAGTTTGCTGTGCCAGATCTGACAGCTCACACCCATAATCCCAGCACTGAGAGGCTGAGACAGGATTGCTGGCTACAAGTTCAAGGCCAGCCTGGGCTGCATAGTGAGTTACAGGTCAGTCTGTCCTGAAGGGTGAGACCCTGCCTCAAAAAAAAAAAAAAAAGAGTAAGGAATTTTTACAAGTTAATTTATTATCTAATCAAGAGTTTTTGCTCTAGCCACTTCACAGAGGAAAACTGGATGATGACTTCATACAGTGGAGTGCATTGGGCTGAAGGCATTTGGAATGGGGAGCCTGTGGCTTAGGGGTAGACTGCTTGCTGAACATGTCTCAGATTCTGAGTTCAGTTCCCAGCACCACAGATTTCTCTCTGTCTCTGTCTCTGTCTGTCTGTCTGTCTCTCTCTCTCTCACACATACACACACATACACAGCATCTCTAAAGGCCAAGTCTAAATTCAACAACAGGAATACAAGTTCTTCTCTGTGCCATATACTTTGTTTCCTTATACTTGGTAGATCTGTTTTTGTTTTTATTTATTTGTTTGGGTATATTTCGTGGACAGGTGCCTTATATGAGAGTTATGCAGATACAATCAATGTCCAAGAGCAAAATTTTAACAGGAACTTTCTCGTGCTGAGAGCAGCAGAAAAGTCCCGGGGACACGTATTCCTGACACTTATCTGCCCGCCGGTCACCAAACTTCTTCAGAATACCAGCTTATATGAACTCAGAATGAGCGCTTGTGGGTGCAGAGAAGGAAGAAGTGCAGGAGGTTGAGGAAGGAGGAAGGATAGGAGAGACTGCCTGGAGCCGCCGCCAGGACAAGGAAGATGTAAAGTACTGGTAAGCCACGAGTCACGTGGCAAAGTAAAGATTAATAGAAATGGGCTGAATATAAGAGTAAGAGCTAGACAATGATAAGCCTGAGCTAATGGTCAAGCAGTTTAAATAATGTAAGAGTCTGTGTGTTTATTTTATAAGTGGGCTCCGGGACTGGCGGGACTTGGTGGAGGGAGCTGGAGAGAAATTCTCCAGCTACAGGAGGTAAATCTTTACATAGTGATCCCTATTCAGTTAGCCCCCTATTTCTGCAGAATGAGACAGATGTAGAATGAAATATTGTATGTAATTAAACAACGGAAGCTAGAGATCCAAACTCAATAATGTCTTCACTCTAGTCTCCTATGATGTGCAATGTGTTGTCGTGGGACAGACAAAGGGAACTGATTGCTGGCATTCTGGTGTAAAGAGAAATGTTAATAGAACACACAGTATCTGTGCCCCCAGATGGAAAAGCCATGCCAGAGAAACCCTTAAAATAATATCTCATGACCATCACCCCATGAAGACAGTGAAATCCAAGGTGTGATTTTTCTCTTTACAAACCCATCCTGGCATTTTTTTTTTCCTTACCAAAAAATAAAAGTCTTTGGGAACTGAAAGGGAACTAGATTTCAGTAGTGCCTTTGTGTATTTTTAGAAGAATGGCATCACTCTGCAGACTTGAGTCTAGAGTCGGAGCATTACAAACCACCTCCCTCCATGTTTCCACTTCATCTTTGGCTCCTGACAGCTCTTAAGACAGGGGAATGTCTAACTCCCATTGGCCATTTCTTAACGTCGGCAACAGAATTGTTCACTTTTTTTTTTTTAAAATAGGAACTGCCTATCTGCTGGGAAAATATCTATCTATCTGTAAGGTGTCAAGAAATAGAAAGTAAAGCAGATCCATTTCTGCTAAGGCAATACTACTCCTTTAAGCTGAGCCAGGGCTGTGACTCATCGGCCTGTCTCCTCTTGTGGGATGGAAAGGGAGTGTCTGCAAACCTCTTCACAGCAGAAGGGAGGGAGGCTTCAAGGAAGGTGGTTTCTAATGCTCCGGCTCCAGATTCAAGTGCGCTTTTCTCTGGGCTGAGGTGGCCTTGACCCAGAAGACAAGGAGTTGTCCAAGACAGCCTCATTACTAACAACTTATCTCAAGGTAGGCAGAAGGTAGCTTCTGCCAGAACCATCATGACTCCATTGGAGCTGCTGCTTGAAGGTAGTTTTGTCTTGATCTAACGGGACAAGGGGCTGGAAGACAGCCTAGCAAGAAGAGAGGGGCTTTTCATGTTTCTTTCTTTCCAGCAAAAATAGGCTTTTACAAATCCCACCCCTTCTTTCAAATGCAGTGCACTGTGACTATAGAAACCAGGAAAATATAAATAAGTGAAAAGGAGGAAAAATTTAAAAATCCTTAATAATTCCACTAGTTGTAGTCCCTGCTAATGGACTGTGATGGCTGATCAAATGGACACACACAAGAGAAAGGAGCCTCAGTGGAGATTTGCCTCCATCAGATTGGCCTGTGGACGCGTCCGTGGAGAATTTTCTTGATTGCTAATTGATGCAGGAAGAGCAACTTACTGTCCCATCCCTAGGCAAGGGGCAGGGGCTGTATAAGAACGGTGGTTGGGCTTGAGCCTGGGAGGAATCCAGTAAGCAGGGTTCCTCCATGGTTTCTGCTGCAAGCCCCTAGCCTACCGAAGTTCCTGCCGTGACCATGAGAAGAAGTACGCCCCTTTTCCTCTCAAGCGGCTTTTCGTCATGGTGCTTCTTACAGTGGCAGAAAGCAAACTGGAGTGTGAGTCTTTTGAGAATTTCCCCCTGTTGTCTGTACAGCATTCCACTTTTGTAAGCTTGTTTGTTTGTTTTCTTTTTCTTTCTTTCTTTTTTTTTTTTTTTTAAGCTGGCAGAAGACTGACGGTGGGGGGGGGGGCGCAAGAAAATGAGTATCAAATGCATTCTTCCCAGCCCTCTATCCCTGAACTTTGACTTTCTGATGGCAGCTGTGTCTCCTCTGTGACCCCCATCTTTTATCAGGTGATCCCAGCAGCTAGGTCACTGTCACAGCATCTCCGGTCTTAGGGACCTCCAGCACAGAGTGGCAATAGTTGCCTGCTGCAACTAGTGTTCAGATTGTCTCTCTGATTGTGTGACTTCTTCGCTCTCCCATTACCTGTGCAACAGAGTCCCCAAATTACTTCACCTTCTTAGAAAATGGATAA